ACATCTAAACAACTAATTGACTGTATAGTGTCATCTGTTAAATCAGAACTGATTGGCAAGATTATCTAGTCTTACTAGTAGGAAGGTCTTGGTCATTAATCACACCTCCACAAAGAGGAGCTGGATTGAATCTCTTATGTTCTTAGATTTTATTTCTGTTGATGTTTCTAGAAATCTCCCCTCCTTTTCCCAATTAAAAACATGGACAATATTCCAAAAGAAAAAAGATAGAACCTCTATTCAGTGAAACTTGTAACATCTAAACCCAAGCAAATATAAAGTGGCAGGGAGTGCACATAATATATAGTCAGATATAAACGAAAAATATATGAATAAAGCTAAAAATCAGAGAATAGCAATAATCACAATAAAGTGTGAAATATTATAAGGATTTACTGTAGAGCAGGAGGTGACTATTTTGAATGTCAAGAAGATGAAAAATTAAACTGGGACAAAATTAAAGGAGTCGAATGAGAGGGATGAAACAAGATTTCTAGTTTAACTAGTAAGCATACTCCTCCATTTAGTGATAAAGACAAAGACTAGAAAAAAGGTTTTCCTTTTTTGATGACACAAAACATGTAGGAGACTCTCAAGAAAGTTGAGAGGTGAGACTCAAATCATAGAGGTATTAAGACAGCTGTTATGCATTCCAGTATAAGAATTACATTTAAGGTCAGAAAATACAGAATTGAGCATACTTTTTTTTTTTTTTGACTTCTAGCCTGTTTATTTCATACCCCCTTTTTTTTTTTTTAATTTCTTATTCATCCACTGTGCTCTGCTTTTATTTCCATTTGTTAAGTATTCTCATTCAACCATATCTTTTGAGAAATTCAAGGAAAAGCAGTATGATTAAGCGCTAAAATAAACCCTGAAAAAGAATCAAATTACTTAAGAAAACATATTCGTTTACTTTACCTCTGAAAACATATTAGCTTACTTTGCAGTACTTTTTTTGCTTTATAGGTGCCAGGAGAGGACTAATCTGTAATGTCTTCATGATTTTGCCTTTTATTTCAGTTTATATAATTGAAGAGTTCCCAGGACTGCTTTTCATTTATTTTATTCATCAAAACATACTTCCCAAATGTTATGAAAACAAAGTTCAAAAATAATGCAGTCCAAACCAAACCCTTTCAGTTTTCTCTTGGAACACAACTGATAATAAAGTCATACCTTGTATCTTGTTTTAACTGAATAAACACTGCATTGTCCCTTAATGTATAATTCTTTAGGGTATTCACTTTATATTCTCATACTTCAATGTTTGAATAACTCCTGGTGGTACATGTAACAAGATACATATAATCAGGAATAATACAGTTGTTTCACTGCTACTGGGAGGTTTTCATCCTCTGCATTGAACTCAGAGGTCTCATTGGGTCACTCTGTGTGTGTGCTTACATTATGACAGAAAGCAAGGAGTCAGAGGGTTTGGAACCTGTATTTCGAACATTAACCTTTGATGAAAGACATGGAAAAATGTTTGAGTGCAAAAATCAAAATGTTTTTGTTGAGGTTATGGAAAAAAAAATTGACTCCTATTCACAAAATATTCTCTCTTCCCTTGCATCTTCTTTTCAAGTAAATGTGAGTCTCAGCTGATCACATCATTGTCCTGATCAAAAAGAAAGACCAGAGAGAGAGTGCTTTTAAGAAAGTAGTTTCCATAGGGACTGAATATATTTAATCAAAAAAAAGATGATACCTTCTAATGTTGAAATTCTGGTGTGCTTGGCTTGTGCATATTGTGCATCATACTGTTTACTCCATGCTAGTGGGCTTCCCCAGATTCAATGTAAACAGAGAACACAAATTTCAAACTTTTTTTTTTTCTTTGAATTCTCAGTAGAAAACTGAAATGTTTACTAAGGAAAGCTGGAAAAGTGACTTGAAATATAGATATGTAGCAGAAAAATTCAGTAGCAGAACAAATTCAATTTCTGAGCTGTTAATTCTGCTTTTAGTAGGTGTACTTTTGATGAAATTGTCAAGTAAGCTGCAGAATTTGTCAGAAATACCCTTTCAAATTAAGAATGGGATGTGCACAAAAAGGAAGATATAAAAGAGAGAGAGAGATATGATTAATAGGTATCAGTGTCCTGCTCAGAGAATGCTGCTAAACCTTTTGTTCGGACTGTCTGGTGACAAGATGCTCTGCTAAAGAGTCCAGGTTAAATTTTCAGTTAGCTGAATTGTTAGTGGCCTAAAAAAGACTGGACTACAATAAAAGAACTTGAAGCTTTAACTAAACACAATTTCTGACATTAAAAATCAGCAATTAGGCATTTAGTGAATGCCACAAAAAGCATTTGGATCAAGCACAGAGTATTTAATATGGGAAAAAACTATCTATCCTGACACGTTAGGAATGTCCCTCATCTGTACAATTGTGTAAATCAGTCTTTTTCTGGTGTTATCACTGTTGGGAGCAGCAGCTCTCAGCTCAATGACAAGTTGAGGGTCACCATTTGGGAGTCACAGCTGTAAGGCACAGCACCATCCCTTCACATCAGCATTGTTTGTTTTATACTTGTCGTAGGTGCAGAAAAATGATAGCAGCATTGGGAATGAGTATGGCTGCTCAGGAGAATGGGAATTGCAGCTTTGTTTTCCTTGTTGATCCCACTCAAGTTTAGAAAGATTAAAATAGCAGTGTATGGAAGTTCAATTTCAACAAGTGTTAGGAGAAGTTACTTTAGCCAAGTGTTGTGCTCTCCTCAACCTGCAGTCCAGTGGTTTGCGCTTGAAACACTGAACTGTATCCATGTGAGATAATCTTAGGGAAGGACCTGCAAAGGGACACTTCAAAGTGCTCTTCAGAGATAGTCTGTGATGCAGCAGTGAGAAGCCTAACCAAGGACAATGCCCACATCTTTGTAGGGATGTTGTATCCTCTTACCTTATGTTCCAGTAACAGTACAGCTATGCTTTTGACTGACTTCATTACAAACCTGACTGTATTGGTGTTATCCTTAAGCTCTATCTTCTGAAATCCTATCTGAGAACTAATGGATTTTCTTTTATAAGCAAGGCTATAATTCTTACTGGTTCCAAAGACAAATCAGGCAGACAGCACAAGGACCCGTATTTTTGCTTAAAGAAACCCTACGCTAATATCAGAAGGTCTGCACTATGACTTCAAACATTTCATATCAGCAGTACTGAGTATTACAAGAAAAGCAAAGGTATGCTCTGAATCCATGCTCTTTTGAGTGTATGATACAGCCAGGAGCTTTTATGCTATTCTTCAGGAGGTTTTCCTTCCTAGGGAATGGTAGGAAAAATGTTGGAAAATGTACCAGTCATTAACAATGTTTTAGCAAGAATGCCAGTTCACCTGGCTTTCCAAATTTCATCAAGTGCAGCAGTTTCTGTGTTCCCAAGATACAGGAGGAAAGGCACAAAGTTTTTTTCTGCATCCTCTTTCTGTAATCAGCAAAAAGTCAGATAAACATTTCTAGCCTCTTCCAGGAAGCATCCCTGATAAGTATAACATTTAGGCACTTAATGAGCAGCATTAGTGTACACGCTTAAGTTTAAGGGTATTTTTAAGTGCTGTGCTCTGAGTTGTAGGGTAGATGATTAAAGACAAATGACAAACATTTATGGATTTCTGGATTCATATATATAAACTATGTAATCTGCAGGCTTGGATTCACTTGGAGGAGGTTAATTAACTTTGATGTTCTGTTGTTTTTCCTTGTCCAAAGCAATGTCAAATCTTGTCTCGGTTTCTTCAACCTAGCACACCAGCCACAAGGAACTAGAGCCAAACTGCACTGTGATATCAGAGCTGTGGAGGGGTGAAGTCCCATGCTCACACACCTGTGAATCCTGTGACCATGGAAAGAAATGTCTGTGTCACATCACATCAGGATTACCTCAACCTGTAGCTAAACTCATGTGAATATAGCTGTAGATAATTAAGGAAAGTAAAGTAAGGAAATAAAGAATGTGGAGTAGGCATTCACCAAGGGTGAACAGGCAAGAACTTAAAGATTTAGGGGTATTAGTACAGACTGAGAAAAAATTTGAAATTTTGTAAGAAACAATTTAAAAAATTTTTCTAAATTATATCAAGTAGACGTGTGTCATTTCTTTCCTTATGCCTTCACCTGCATTGCCAGTTTAGATAATAAATAGTTCAAGATGCCAAGCACATGTCTAATTTACTGGTATTTTCAGTTCTGACTATTTCAACACATATTTAACTTTGGGCTTTATGGTGTGACTGCCTGAGAATCTCAGTTGCTATTCTCAAGGAACATTCATTTCTAGTCCTCTATCCTCCATTCAAACCATGGAAATAGGTTTGATAGCTTGAACAGGGAAGTGGTAAGCATTAGAAGAAAATGAAAAGAACCTGATACATATTTTAATAATGCAATCCTATTTCATTATGAGGGTTTGAGGCAATTAAAAAAACCTTATGTGAGTGTTTGAGATTGGCAGCACTGGATTCTATATCTTAACAATTCTAAATAATTTTTTACATTGTTTGGGGGAAGATGCTTTGCAGACAAAGTGAGGGTAAGAGAGAAGTGAAGAAAGAAGACTGAAATTTCCCCAGCAGTCTGTCAGTAGTTGACAAAATTGACTTATATTTTCATGGGTTATTATGGTTAAATTTTCTAAAGCTATGGTTTTCATGGCTAAATTATAAGAGAAATAACATCACTTAAGAAATAACATCTCTGTTATTATATGAAATTGATTATTATTCCATATGTATTTGTAGATGTGTGAAGGTTTATGTGTGTGTGTTGTTTAATACAGTATTTTGATTGCTTTTTTTCATTTCTCACTTTGAGAATCATCTCATTTTCTCTAAGTTTGGTGGGTTTTGGTTTTGGCTTGCTCTTTTTTCAGAATCAGTAACAATAGTTTCTTTTATCTCTTGATGTAAATGCTCCAGTCATTTAAAGTGCAGCTCCAAGCAGTCCTTTATGTCACTAAAAGAAATTAGCTAAATAGCGCTGTTTAATTAATTTCAGGACCGCCTCTTTTTCGTCATGGAATATGTAAATGGAGGAGACCTAATGTTTCAAATCCAACGCTCACGTAAATTTGACGAACCTCGATCCCGCTTCTATGCTGCAGAGGTCACATCAGCACTCATGTTTCTTCACCAACATGGCGTCATCTACAGGTACTTTTTTTGATTAAAAATGAAGTATTCTTGGGGCTTCGGGATGGTTTTGGCTGAAATCCTCCATCTCTTAGCAACCAGTTTTAGATTAGTTGTTTGTTCCAATTTGCTTACACAGAACTTTTTTTTGGCTGTTTATCATTGAGAATGTTAACATTTGAATAGCCTCTGCAGCAGTTGCCAGCTGTGTGTGCCAGTTTTGTGTTCTAGTCCAAATAAAGTGGGTTTGAACAAGCTTGGCACAGTGCAACCCAGAGGTGACCTTTCTGCAGATCGGCGCAATCTCTTAACTTTCCTCTCTGTGCCATAGATTTCCTCTCAGTTTCTAACCCTCTGCCACTTCCTGAGTTTGTTTGTCTTAGTTGTCTCCACTCTGATACAATCAGGATGGTCGTTTGCAGTGCTTTGCTTATGCCCCTTCCTCTTGACTGTTTGGGTGAAGGCTTAGTCATCAGCAGGAAGTGGCTCTTTGGAGACAATTCTGATTTGCTTTCAAGTGCCCTGCATCTATTTGAACCTCCCCCACTGGCCCCAGTCTCTAATCTTCAATACCCATGCACACACACACACAAAAAGTGCATATTGTTGTGCTGGGATGAAGAATGCATTTAGGGATAGTCTTTATTATTAAAAGTAAGGATTCGCTTTGAAAAATTTCACCCTGATGTTAATGTGTTTATTAAATCCTTTATCTTGTCATTTCACACTCCCCCTCTGTTTTTATTTGTTTTTAGCAGCCTGTTATTACTTGACATAAATTCAGGCTTCCCCAAGCAACACGCTTGACAGGTTTTGTAATATAATCTGTCCTGTCCAGTAAAAACACTTGAGTTCTTCTGATCTGACTTCTGTTTTTTCCCTTGATATTCCTACCCTCTTTCAGGTTATCAGATCAGATTTGAGGTAGTCATCTCAGGGACAGCTAGCTTCAGATTTCGTGAGCAGGAACATCAAGATAAGGATATGGAATTTGTCATATCCCTAGATTTATATAAAGGCAGGTCTTGAGAGTACTAGAAATTGAGAAGGAAATATTAAATGTTTAGTAACCAGGACTGAGCAGTAAGTTCCATTAGAAGCAATTGGCTTTCCCATATGCAAAGGGATTCAAAGGCAAACTTCTCAGACATCTCCTTTCCAGAGACATAGAAATCAGCAGAACATCACAGCTTCTGACAAAAGTAAATCTCTTTGAAAGTGGTCTTTTCATCAAAAATCTAATTTTCTTTATAAAACTCTTTGCTAGCTGCAGTGCTTAATCTCCATCTCTTATTAACGCTGGTATGATGTTTGCATATTGGGTTGTGCTTTTAGCCCTGACACTTCACATGGGTTTAAGTGCCAAAGATCCAACACATTTCTTACCTTTCCTGCCCATATCATATTTCCTATTCATTGTCCGCATTTATTACCAAAGCTAGGTATTTGTATATTCACATAATAGAATGTGGCAACTTCAGAATTTGTAAGTATCTGTCAAAAGGGAGACAGATAAGCTTGGCACTTTGACAAGTGAAGGGTTTTGAGGATTTGTTTCATTAAAATACTTGAGCTAATTTGCTCCTCCTGGAAACTGGAGGTACACACTTTGCAATTAGCAGTCATTTTAATGATTTCTGTGAAACAGCAAGAAAGAACTGATATAAAATTACATCTCCCTGCTTTATATGAATGTGCATTCATTCACCTCCCATCTTTCACTGCTTCCATCCCTTAACACACGTCTCTCTCTACTCTTTCTTTCCTACCTCTTTTCCTTTTCATATATGTGATTTCTGCTGCTGTTGGCTCCTAGCTGGATGCATTGAATCACTTTATGTGCCTGTGTCCTTTCTATGACTACATTAGCAGAACCCTTCCATCACAGTGGAAATGTCATTCTGAGACAATGTTTCATAATTTAAACTTCACAGTGTACTCACAACTTTTTATTCAGACACTATGTTGACATGTCTGACACGCATGCTAGAATATGACACTGAACTTATAAATGTCATGTTATGCTGAGTGTGTATGATCAGAAGACAGAAGACAACATGAATTGTAGGATGAAAGCATAAACTGTTGAAAGCAACAGGAAGAAAGTAGGAACACATTCAGTTGTATTCTGTTTTGACATAAGCTTTTGGATCTTGACATAGGTATGGCTGTAAGAATAATTTTTCAAGCTGTGAGATACTAGGAATTAAAATATTAGTAAAATGTACATCCCAGTTACACTGTAAAATACAAGTAGAAGAAAGAAGTTAGAAATTATTTTAAAATAATTAATCATGAGAAAACACCACAATTCATTCACAATGTGCCAGGCCTTGGGAGAATGCATTTGTTGATGTCAAGCATGCATAAGAATGTTTGTCTTGTACAGAACAGTTTCAGCCTGATTATTCCATACCTCACTGCATTATTTACTACAATGTTAAAAATGCATTGGTATCAAGTCACTCCTTTACATCTCCAAAGTTCTTACTAGCTGGCAAACAAGGAAAGAAAAGGGAAAGAAAAAAAAAGAAAATAGAACAGCCTTTGCTCCTGAATAACTATGAGTCATAACTACCTAACATGCCTTCAGATATTTTGATAAAGCATACTTGTCTTCTGTGTAATTATATTTCTAGAAAAAACATTGTGGTGTGAAATTAATGGTTATTCTCCAAAGTGGGAAATGCTGCTTGTGTGGGCACTACTTCAAGGAAAGTGGGGAATATATAAATAAACTAAGATGTTTGATGGAAATGTAGGTTTCAAAATAGCTGCTATACCTTCTGATCTTTTTTCAGTCTTGTATGTGGAAGTATTTGTTTGGAACTAAACGAAGTTATATTTTTGGAAGTAAATAACTGGCTTTAGCTCATGCTTGGCTTGTTGGTTAGGTTTTTAGAAAGTGCTATGATGATACTAAATGATCATATTTTATAATAACTGGTTTATCCTCATTTCCCCTGAAATTCAAAGAGAAAGCCAGCTCCCTGTTTGGCAATAGAAATTATTCTCTGAATTCACATCTTTGCAGCTGACCCAACAGTTGTTCCCAGACTTGTCCAATTATCAGTGGGCTCACTGGAATTACATATATCTTCCTTATGTTTATCCTCCTTATATTTATTAAGTTGGAAATAAAGATGAACCTCACAACTTTTTATATAAAGATATTCCCATTACTGAATGTATCTTGTACGATAGATAAACTTTAGGAATATTTTTAGTATGGTATTTTTAAAGGTATTATGTTACTGTTGTGTCAAAAATACTTCAACAGCTTAATAAAAATTATTTACATTATCCCTGCCACCTTCCCTCTCATCTGGCATTCAGCTATTCAGGCACATGTCAGGCTGGGGCCTGATAATACAAATAGAGTTAATCAGACACTAGAGAAGTTTCAATCCCATTTTCTGGCACTTGTCCTTGTTTGTGTTATGCAATTGCAATTGCACCACTTTGAAAAATGTATCCAAACTTCAGAAATTAAGGACTAGGAATCTCATTTTGATTTTTCTTGTGAGCTGGACTAGAGTTTGAACTTGGTGATGAAAAGCTGTGGATTATGTTCAGTGTCACCTGCCACTGGAGTCTGGTGTATATAAAGTCAGTTATCATAATATATTAATATATTATGTCTGTATAAAATATATTAGTATATACTCTAATGTAGGGAAAATGCAATGAGCTGTGTGTGTTAAGTAACTGTCAGTTCTGTACTCCCTACTTGTAGCGAATTTCAACATTTCTGTGCTCTTTCTGCAGATATATGTAAACATGGCATGTTCTTGTTTCACTTGGAGTTGGGCTGAGGTCAGGAGTACCTGGGTGGCTGTCTCTGCTCTCAGTGTAGGAGTTCAAGTGAGGTCACATGAGTTACCTGCTGTGGTCTGAAATACCTACAAAGAACTGTTGTCCCCCCAGGCAGGAAGGCCAGCACTAGAATGCGGTACCACTTCACAAACATAAATGACGGTGTCCCCAGTTCATACATGATTTAGGAAACAACTATGTGAGCTGTAAGCATTGTTTCAGCAGTTGCATGTTACTTGATCTCTGTTATCCTCCAGAATCTTTCAGGTGCTCTCTCTGAAATACAAAAGAAAAAACCCGAATGTATACAATTTCAGTTCACCTGAAAGAATGAAAAATATCTTAACTGAGAAATTAGTGTCACCTGCTTTGGGTTGACTAACGTAGGAGTAACTTTTTTGCTTTCAAGTGCAAGATCTGTGAGATGTTGCCTTCAAATCATGCAGCACCTGGTCATGACGGAGTCCTTATTCATAACTCTGGGTTATTATGTTCCTCAGCAGTATGAAGTAATAACCTAGCCTGTAACTTGCTGGAGCTTTCTGAGGCTCTCTGCACTCTGTAATTAATGTGTTGGTCATGATGAAGGATTTATTAACACTAAATTGAGGCAAATGTGGATGTAAATATGCTGATGCCAATCCTTTAGTATCTCTGGGCTTTTCCCATACACAACTACCCTAAGAACTTGTTTGAACACTAAGTTAATTTTTCCCTGGATGATCAGTTTTCCCAGCATTCCTGTTTATCAGGACAGCACACACCAGTGTTTCAGAAAGAACTACCTAAAATTAAAAGTACTTTCATTAGTGTGTTTTTATGTGAAATAAGAATATTTTTTAGAAACCGTGACTTCATTGGTGGTTGTGTGATTCAGTGCAACTTTGGCAAAGTAATGAGGAGTTATATTTACACCAATGAAAATGTTGCATGGTCAGTGGTTAACATGATAAAAGTCATCATTCTTCCAAGTTACCTTACTGTGTTATTTCTGAGTGGCAGCAGCCAAATAAAATTTCCCTCCCCCTATTTTTTTTTTTTTTAAGGCAAAACCAGACATGGAGCATTTTGATTTAAGTATGTAAAGATCATCTTATTGCAACTTTGAATAGTTAAAGGTGAAATTGGTTCTTTAGCTGTGGTCCAAGAAAGAGGGCAAGACCTTGCACCCTCATCTAAGCATACTAATATACTGAACACGAGGC